ACCCTCACTTCTATCCTGGACAAGAGATTTTGGATATGTGTTCAAGGGGGCAGGTGAATTCCTGGCGTTGCCATTTCTCTTTGTTCAAAATCTGTTTATTTATGGGGTGACTGCCCCCATAAGTAGAAAATAAGTTTGTTAAAGTATTTTTTATAAACAGCTTAATATAAAACATTATAGATTTAGTGTTTGTTTTTTTTCCTTAAAATAAGTTTAATTTCAAATGTTGGAAATGTGTGCTGTATAGTGTTTACTAAAGTGACAGAAAATACACCATTTGACACATGATAGATTCCAAAACATAACATTGCACCAAATAGAAATGTATATTTTATTATGCAATGCCTTAGTCATAAACTGGGCTCAAACAGTTCTTAGGCTAAAACACTGTTGTCTTTTGAAATGCTTCCAACCCAAAGGCCTTTCATCTCAATATCTGTCAAACTTGAATAATGTCTTCTTTTTAATATTACACATAAGGCAGCCTATTAACCTGTGTCTTAGAAATGTTGTATATAGTTCTTTTAATATTAATAGGGTATATTTTTGAATTTTGGTATTTGTTGAACTTGAGATCGCATACAAGAACATATGTTTAAGAAATAATAGGAAATACAATGAAATGGCTGTTTCCACCAAGAATTCTTAGCACTGGTGTAAATATGGTGCCTACTCGAAAGAAATGTAGATGCTATGCATTTTGAAAATAATCTGCATCTGTTAAAACTGCAGAAGTTTTTTAATGCCACTTTAACACTAATGCACTGACAGATTTAAATATTTTGAGAGACGAAATGTTAAAAATTTTTAGCTTGACAGGTTTCTATAGAGTTCTGTGTTTTGTTTTTTCACTTTGCACCATTGGCTGTGTCCATCACTTTATATTTGCATGTTCAATTTGTCACAGCTGGAACTATTATACAGAAAAGGATGATTGTGACTTCTAGTTCTTTTCTAGAGGATGCTGCTAGAAAGTGGTTTTGCTTTGCATTTTATAGCTTGTTACCTCTTGGGTAACCTGTCAATCCTGCTTCCTTCCTGTCTTCGTCTTCACAGTATTTCAGTAGAAGTTCCTTTGCATGTTGCACTCTGTCCTCATTTGGAGATTTGACTTTGAATTAACACAGTATTCATTAATCTGTGTTATACTGTATAACTATAGCTTTTATTTCTCATTTGTATATACTAATGTGAAAATCTACCCTTTTTTATGTTCTCTTTTGATCAGGAAGTTTGAGCGCTATGCAAATAAAGTAGTAATTTCTCTTTGCATGCCATGTATAATATACCTAGCCAAAAATGGATTTTTTTTTAAAAAAAGCAAATACAATTCACTTGAATTTGACAAACTGAAACAGATGAGTTTTCTGGGTTCTCTGATAACTTAACAGAATTGTTTGGGATGCCAGCTAGGCTCAGTGAATCTCCACTGTACTGTAATAATGGTTATTTTACCTCTGTTTTAATTACCTAATGTCTGTGTAACTGCTGATTCGAGTAGTGATTATCATTTAGACGTTTTGTAACAGGATTTTAGAGAGCACTTTGAAAGATATTTTATGATGGTGCTAAGTAAAAACTTTAAAGACTGAGATGGTTGTGTGGAAATACTGAGAGAACCTGCCGAAAGGAATTTCTGTTGTCACCTTCTAAGCTCTAACAATTGGGGAAGGTACTGCTTAAGCCATTTCTTTCTTAGTTAACATCAGTTGTTATGGAATGAGATTAGCGGGTCCTTTATTCTCAGCTCATATTTTTTAATGTAAGATTAGTTTATCTGATAGTTTTTATGAAAATCACCTTTAGATATTATGGCCAGATTTAAAAGTTCAATGTAAATTTAAACTCAGGAGACCAAAAGAAATTGGTGTTTCCAGTGTCTTTTATTGACTGGGATTTGATCTTCTCAGTTTCTTCTGGAAATGTTGAAAATTGGGTAGGAAAGAATACTGTTCATTTCTTCACTGTCTTACCTCAGTTGAGTAACAACATACTCTATAGTTCCTGAAAGAAATACTGATTTGCTTGCTGTTTCCCATATTTACCTCCAGGACATGATGGAAACAGTGCTGAAAGAGAACTTTACAGATGGTACTTTACTCAGTGACCTCTGGAATAAAAGAACTCTGAATTTTGATAATTAGTTTTAAAATTATGAGTCTTTGCATGAAGGTCAGTTTTGTTTTTTTTAGATTTGTTTTAAATGTATTCAGGGGATTTGCCTTATGCTGAGGTCAAACCAAGCAAGCTTTTGTCCTTCATTCTGACTGAGTCATATGGTATGTTGACATGAGATACAATGTTTATCATACAATGTTTCCATATAAGAGAAACTAATGCTTAGAAGTGAGAATCATTTGTATTTTGAGTTGGAAATTATGGAACTTCACTGTATCAGGATCATATACATTTTAAAGAACAAATGTTTAGAATGACCAAAGGTCACTTCTTTTGGCTTGTGCTAAACTTGATTTTTTCCCGTTTAGTATTGGGTATATTTTTCTTCAAGTTCTTCTCAGATAAAATCTTCCTGTTGTTCCATGTACTCCTTGGCAGCAGGATGCTAGCATCTGTGTAATTCTCATCCTGTTTCCTGGTAACCCATATATTCATTTTCATGCTGACTTGAGCTCAGACCCTGCCTTGATTTGGCAGGAGTAGGTTTTCCCAAACCACAGTGCTTAGTTAATGCAAACTGTATATTTTGCATTATGTTTCCTTTGTGACTGAAGATTGAATTAAAATGCCTGTGAACTGCAAACTTGCTTATGATTGACTTGGTGCAATAAAGTTCCTTTCTAACCATTTCTGGTTTAGAAAACATTCAGCCATCCTAGAAACTAGCAATATTTATTTATGTCTCATTTATTTTACCTTCAGTTTTAGATGAGGGAATTGTAGTCTTTCACTTGTGGGTACTAAGCAAGGTCCATTTTGGTGTAGCTGAAGAGAATGCATATTTGGCTACACTATTTCTGTTTACTATATTTTGCTTCTTGTTTAAAACCTTAATAATGGCTCAGTTCCAGCATGTCAGTCTCAAAGAACTAAGGTTTTACTACTAGTGTCAGCCATTTACTTTCCCACTAATTGGGATACCCCCCAAACCCCCCAAATAAGTTTTAGAAAATCCTAGAAAAGGGGAGATTGCATGTCTTAATGCTGGGGAACAGCAACTTTGGTGTTGAATTTACTTGAATGGATTAAAATTGCATTGTTACAGAGATAGAAAAAAATTTAAGTATGAAAAATAATAGCCTTATACTGAGTATAAATAATACTTTAAAAGCATGTGAAGATGTGATCATTTGTGATGTTACTTGTAAAAAAAACTATATATAAATATCTTTTGAAGTGTTGAAAGGAAAATAGTACTTTATATTCTTTATCATATCACTTTTTGTAAGTGTTGCATATATTCCTGTTTATTTTTCTATGTTCTGTTTTGTAGCCTTAAGAAGTGTTTCAAAGATATCTGAATGTATCAGAGTAAATGCCCTACATGGTGTGATGCTGCATTATATATGAAACTGTGTGCATATATTAAATTTTGTCTGTTGATTTTGCTTGTGATTCTTTGGTTCCAGGGTTAACCCAGTATATAGCATATAAATCTTAAGAGGAGCTTAGTGAACTTGTGAAAATAAGTGATGGTTTTTAATTGAGTCAGAATTCTAGTGTGTGCGACTAAAAACCACGTGGAATTTATAAACTATGGGGTAGGTACTGTTCTTTTCCCTACTTTATATATATATGTAAAAAACGGAGACAGGCCAAGTAATTTAATTTAAGTCATGCAACTAAGTGGTAGGATTTGGATTTTGAACCTAGCTGAGAGGTTTTAAAGCTAGTGCTCTCTGCCATGTTTTCAGCAATCATGATGGGAATGTATACTATCTAAGAGTAATTTCTAGATTAAATGGCCCTTTTATTTTTTAAAGTTACTAATCAATATTTGTGTTCTGAAGAAAGATAAGGCAACTTATTGGAAAACTTGGTTTTTGTTTTTTGAAAAATAAAAGCAAACCCTTTCTTAAGGGTGTTTTTTCATTAAATTAAGTCACCTAAGTGTATGGCTAGTCAGTACTTAATTAACCTACTTACTAACAGGTACTTTGTTTTAGAATGGCTTCTCCAGAATGCAGAGCCTGAAGCAAAGGCTTCATTACAGGTGTTCAATAGAAAGTGATAGGGTAGGTAAGTTGGTTAGTCATAGAGGCCAGTTTTTAGGGATTGCTTGAGGTGGTGAGTGAAGTATCACAGAACCTTGAAGGATCAGAGGGAGAAAGAAAGGAAAGGGGGGAGGAAGCATTTATCTGTGTGAGTGCCACTTTCTTTTGCCAGTAAGTCAGTAGAGAAGCCAGAGCATGGGGAGGAAAGTTAGAGGGGGTTGGTGTTGGTTGGAACCCTTGCAGAACTGGTCACTTGAAATGGAACAGTAAGGTAAGACCAAGTGACCACTGGTCCACAAGAAGCGTGCCCTATCCAGGGTTTCTCCAGAAGTTTTCTATAATTGGATGGGCCTGCTTTTTCACTTTGAATATTTTATATTTTCATTCAACTTTAGGTACATGTATAGGGAATAAGTAGTATGAGAATATTTAAACTACAAAATTAGTAAACACAACTTCTCTTCAGAGACACTAACTTAAACTCTTTCAAAAGTTGAGTCTTGCACTCCGCAGAATAGTGAAGCTACAGCCATTGATAAAAATGTCATACTAGATATTTATTGATCTAGGAATTCATTAGAGCTCAAAGTCAGCCATTTAAAAATACATACCAGTCTTATCGCCGAAGCCGGTTTGGCTCAGTGGATGGAGCGACGGCCTGCGGACTGAAAGGTCCCAGGCTCGATTCCGGTCAAGGGCATGTACCTGGGTTGCGGGCATATCCCCAGTAGGAGATGTGCAGGAGGCAGCTGATCGATGTTTCTCTCTCATCGATGTTTCTAACTCTCTATCTCTCTCCCTTCCTCTCTGTAAAAAATCAATAAAATATATTTTAAAAAAAAATAAAAATACATACCAGTCTTATGATTAAATTTATTTTTCACATTTACAGAAAAATCTTGTAAAGATTAAAGCTGTAAATATAAAAAACGAAGAGTGGTGTTCGTAAGGCCTCCTATGTCTTTCAATAGTCTAATGAAACTAAACTGGCAAGTTATTGATTCCCATACAAAATTTGTGTAAGCTATTTTTTTTTCCTAACTGCATAAGCTAATTTTTTTTTTTTACTGATCTCCAGGTGGAAAAAACAAAAGTAATGCTATATACTACCTACGATACATGTTACTGTGTAACTTGTTGCATGCTTTCTGTAAGTTGTTTTCTAAATTAGGAGTTAGTAAAAGCATGTTAAGTCTTCTATAATTTTATAAGGTATGTTTACAAATCAGGGAGGGGCCAGAAGTGGAGACTTAGAGGCATAGGCATGAAGCCATGCTCTTCAGGAAGGGATTATTGGATGGACATGACTGGTAACCGCATTAGCAGAGAGCTGTGTGGATAGGTGAGACAGACTACGGCACAGGCAAGGCTGGGAACTGAAACAAATTTACATTAAAGCCAGGAGCACCCCAGTAAAATGGGCACTGATGGTAATAACATAAATTTCCTATAAACAAGCCTTTTCTGGCCTGGGTTCCAGATTCTTAAAGGGAAAAATACAAAACACTAAATGTTTTCACATTTGTTTAGGTTTGAGGTCCAGAAATCTACAAGCTAAGATTAAAAGTGGTTCCAAGCTGGAAATACACTTGGGTCACCTAGTAGAAGCAAACTGAAAGCCTTTGGGCAGACCTCAGTCAAGGAGCCAAGGTTATTTTAACAAAACCATTTTGACTTATAGTAGCTTAAACAAATAGGGATTTATTTCCCTTTCATAAGATAATCTGTAGCTGCTGGTCACACCTCAGACTAGCATTTTTGGTATTTCTTGTGCCACTTTATGGGCGCAACACATCCACAAGGGTAGGTACCAGATATCCTTTTATTGGAAAAGCAAGTGGGCCTCCAGAAACACTCTCCCTCCCCCGCAAGAGACTGCTTGCTACTTTACTTTCAATTTCATGGCTAGGACTGGGTCAGCATGGCTATGCCTAGCTGTGAGACTAGGAAAATGCAGAAGATGATTGTCATGAGTGTTTTAGCCCAATTATGAATCACCATCTGAGGCTGGGCACACTGCCTACCCTATCAAGTTGGTAAGGAAGGAGGTACTTGTAGTATGAAGTTGGGAAGGAAAGACAAAGCCTCACTGAACATCAGCTCACAAACCAAAAGGAAATAATCCAAGAGTAAGACATAGACTAATTGCAGAGTAATGCAAGTATTGTTTCAAAAGATTAAAAGACAATGGAATAAAAAAATTATAAGCTCCTGAACCACTGCTATCTTGGTAATTCTAGCTGCTTCTCTAACTGGTTTTGCTTTGTCTCTTCAGTCCCTACTTAGAGCATGTAAAAACCTCTAACTTGAATCTTGAAAGCATGGAGAGTCCACTACAGTCTGCCTGTGTCCATCCTTTCACTAATCTCTTCAATGCCCATGCTGATCTCTGCCTCTGACCTGATATGTTCTGCTGTATTTACATGGATTATTTTACCATTTATCATTACAGGTACTATTTTTTTTGGTAGCTACCTCCTTCACGTAGCCCTTTCTAACTCTCCAACCTAACTATTTCTCGCCTGAACCACTGAGTGCTCATATTACACCAGGCACTGGGTTAAGTCTGACATACACGTGCCTAATGTTAATGAACATGAACGAAATTACAGAACTGAGTAGTTATCCTTTCTTCCTACTGTCTGTGGTAAATAGATCCATTCCTTCAATACTGTAGAGGCATACTACATACTAGGTACCAAACTATACACTGAATTATTAAAATTATTTCTAAACAGTTGATAGGTACAAAATATAAAATTCAGAAGAGGTATATGTCACCTTCCTATTCTTTAATCAAGTTATTCTTCCTCAAAGCATTAAGCTTCTTGAGTATCCTTCTGTGTACTTTAATATTTTGTATATTTTCATATGAATGGTGTATTATATAAACACTATTGCACCACGGTTTTTTGCCTAGAGATTTCTTCCAATCAGGACATATTCAACAGTCTCTTTTTAATAGCTAACTTCTGCATTGACGGTGTTTCTGAGTTGGTAATATTGATTTTATAGAAAAAATTTTTTTTGTTAGCAACTGTAGGCCCTTTTCTATTGCCACAAAATTTTAAGGAACAGCTGTTTTTAAATTTTCATCTGCATGAAAAATGTAATACATATTCTGTCATAAGCAGTAGGTAGAACTGTGCTCTATATATTGTATATTCTTTAGGACAGAATACGGAATCAGTAAATAAAAATAGCTTTTGGCTTATTTTATTCAATTTTTTGAAATAAACATTCACAAATTTAACCTATCCTTAAAAATAGGCACTACATATTTTAGTGTAATCCCATTTATATACAATACAAGCCCTTTACATATTAACACTGGTAACCTTTGGGAGGGTAATGTGAATTTTTCACAAATATGTATTTCTATGTAATAAAAGCCTAATATGCAAATCGACCAAACTGCAGAACAACCGGTCACTATGATGCACACTGACCACCAGGGGGCAGATGCTAAACGCGGAAGCTGTCTCCAGCCCACAGGCCAGCCAAGGCAGGTGCCAGCAGGGGCCCCGATTGTCCCACTGGTCACCCAACCGAGGGAGGTGACTGGCGGCAGGGCTGGCTGGTGAGTGGGCTGGTGCCACCCTTGGATCGCCCTTGGGGGGCGGGGCTGGCAAGTGGGGGGTGCCAAGCCGGCCAAGGCGGGTACCTGCGGGGCCCCCCAATTGCCCCGTTGGTCATCCCAAAGATCGACCCTGATCACCAGCCAGGCTTAGGGACTCGTACCAGTGCATGAGTTTCATGCACTGGGCTTCTAGTTTATATATTAATTTTAAAGGCCTAATGGGGCCCAGTTATACTTTTTTGCCCAATTTGCATATCAATCAAAGCTATTGTTTCAAGTAAATAATTTAGTCTGTTCAATAATTTCAAATATCTTCCTCTAGTTTGCTTGCTCCATTAATTCATTTAGTAAACTCTTTCCCTCACTTATAGCATGGTAGTTCCAGTTCATTGCATTAGTCAGAAGCATAACTGAAAGTGGTTTCACACTAGAACAGCGGTTCTCAACCTGTGGGTCATGACCCCTTTGGGGGTTGAACGACCCTTTCACAGGGGTTGCCTAAGACCATCAGAAAACACATATTTTCGATGGTCTTAGGAACCGAGACACCGCTCCTCTATCGGTCTCCAGGTGGGTCCGCCCACATGCAGATATGGTCACACATGAGTACCCGGCGTATTAAAGGGTCGAGGCGTTAGGAAGACTGAGAAACCACTGCACTAGAGGTTCCTATTGCTCAAACTGAGAACTCGGACTTGGATAAATTTTTTAGAACTTATGCCCGGCTGGTTGTTTCAGTGGTTGAGCCTTGACCTATGAACCAGGAGGTCATGGTTTGATTCCTAGTCAGGGCACATGCCCAGGTTGTAGGCTCGATCCCCAATGTGGGGCCTGCAGGAGGCAGCCAATTAATGATTCTCTCATCACTGATGTTTCTATCTGTCTGTCCTCCTCCCTTCCTCTCTGAAATCAATAAAAATATTTTAAAAAATAAAATTAGAAGTATAAACTGAACATGGTTTTACACTAGAGGTTTCTATTGCTCAAACTGAGGACTTGGATAAAATATTAGAACTCTTGCTTTGCATTATCCAAAACTAAACAAAAGAGAAAAAAAAAAGAGTGAAATAGATGTACATAATATCCTCTATATCAGTGATGGCGAACCTTTTGAGCTCGGCATGTCAGCATTTTGAAAAACCCTAACTCAACTCTGGTGCTGTGTCACATATAGAAATTTTTTGATATTTGCAACCATAGTAAAAGATATTTTTGATATTTATTTTATATATTTAAATACCATTTAACAAAGAAAAATCAACCAAAAAAATGAGTTCGTGTGTCACCTGACACGCGTGTCATAGGTTCGCCATCACTGCTCTATATCCAAACTTAGAATTAAGTGTATTAAGATACTTTGTATTGCTATCTGGGGAGTGTTTGAATTAATGTTGCCTTTAGATAAGTGGCTCACAGTTCTTGGCTGCCCACCAGAAATCTGTGGAAACTTACAAATATATAAATGCTTAGGCACCAACTTGAGAGATTTTTGAGCCTGTACTTTTAAGGGAAGCAAGCATTCTTTACAATGCATTTTCCTAAATCTTTAATTAGTGATTATAAAAAGGTATGTTTAGAGAACCATTACTTGAGAGCAATTACAGAATATAGAATCTTATGGAATGCTAAGCTGAGTATATCAAAGTGAAGTTAGGTTGTTTTCTTGGTGAAAGTTGGGGGATATTGAAATGATTTTTATGAAGATATTCAAAAGTACCAAAAATTGTAAGCAATGATTAAGTTGGTAACAGCAATTTCTGACAGTGGTGGTTTGTAGATGATGATCTTTTGAAAGTCTAAACACACTGATAATATAGTGCGAAGACTGAAAACAAATATAATCCTAATATTTATTTATCAAATTTCATCAGTGGAATCTTAGACCAACTTTAAAATAAGGGCAGTTCATTATATTGACATACGTGGCAAACCATGTAAGTAAGTACAGAAACCTTTTTCAAGAGTTTTAAAAGGGGGCAACACTGGTCAACATTTGGTACATGAATATAGTACATCCACTGAAAAATCTTCCCATACATCATTAAAGTTTGGAGGTAATTAATATAGCTTGAAATGTGTTCATTTTAGAATGTTAGAGGCAAAAAGGGCCTTATCATCAAGAACAGAAAAGTGGCATGTTTTTTGTGGTTCAGACTACAATTTACAATACAACTGGCTTATGTTACAATAAGTAAATTCTACTTCAGGCTCTAGAGTATGTGGGACTTTAAACCTGATTAAAGTTTTATATGACAAAAATCCCAATGTTTCTTTTAATAAATGGTTTATCGATATTGTCAGATTCAGTCTAATCATCCAAGAAAAAGTAGTTTCCACTCTTCTTTTGTTCTACATCCTAAGAAATAAAATAGAGAAGGAACAAAAATCAACACCATTCTCCTACATGTAGAGGTAAGACTTTCACTCACAGTATTACTTAGCATTGTTTACAATAGTTACAATCTCCTCTGCACTCAGGTCTGTTTCTGGATATTCCTGGGTCCATGAGTTAGAAGCAAGATTACTACCTCTGCTCCCCATCCGTACTACAGAACACTTCCCTTGGTTCACGTCAAGCAAAGCCCTTCACATAAAATACTTATAAAGTTGCCATGAAAAATACTGTTTCCAGGAAAACTATTAAATTCCATTTTCATCATTTTAAGCTCCTGGTACAAAAGGTCCATATTGTTGGTTTGAGAACTGCCTATTACACAAAATATGTAAAAAATTTCCCCAGTGCTCTTTACTGACTGGCCAGTAATGATGACCCATCTACCTATTTGCCTAGCTGCTCACTTATTAGGGTTAAGGTATGACTGAGATGAGTGGGCAGAGAACCAAACCATACGTTTCTGCAAAAAAAAAAAAAAAGAGTACAAAGTGTTCATTCAATAAAAAGGGGGAGGGGGGGGAACTAAACACAGAAAATAAAAAACCGTGTTCATAATACTTCAGCAGAAATTCTTAGGAAAAATAAGTTCTCCATAATCAATGTTCTAGAATTTAGGTCCTCTTTTCTGCTTAATGTTTTCCAAAACTGAAATTTGTCATTTCATTCTCCTGGCCAGTGAGCAACAGCCATAAATAAAACACAGAAGGCTAAAGGCAACATGATGTGTACGATGACTTTGTCTCTGCCTTCCAAAAACTCATGGTTAAGTCATAAAGCTAGCAGAGTACAAAACAATAAAATCTAGTGATTGCTACAGGTACAATGTATAACATACTTCTACAGTTTCTAAAGTATTATGATAGCCAGAGACCACAAAATGTAAGCAGCATTTTAAAGAGGCTCTGCAGGGGATATAACAACAAATGGGTTTTTTTTTTGTTTTTTTTAACTCATTTTAAAAATGAATTTTTAGTGACCAAGAGATTATTGCCTTCTGATAACAAATGGTATTTCACAGACTACATCAAGTGTAGGTGGCACAATTATTTTAGATACCACAAGGAAAGAAAAAGTGCCAATTAAACTGACAAAATATTTTTCCATTGTTTAGAATTTTATGATCATTGAAGGAGTTTATTTAGACAAACTATATATTTTAATTATGTTGTTCCTATGCATGCACAAAAAAAACACCAAACTGATTAAGGTATTCTTAAAAACTTGTTTCACTGGTGAATTAGTGTAATCTTTCTGAAGGCAGTTAAATGGCAATTAACACAGGTGGTACAAGAGTGGGTACAACTCAGATGACATGAACAGCTCTGCCGGAGTTCAGGTAGCAATGGCAGCCACATCACAATTGCTGCCTGTAAAACTTAAGTATGCCACCCAGGTATTAAAATATGAAAAGCATGACTCTTGGAATTAATAAAATATAATACAGATTTTAATTTGAAACATGCCTTGAGTTATCCAAGATTTAAGATAGTTTTTCTACATACCTTAATAGAATTGAGTTTGTTTATTCTTGGTCTATAGTTGTTTGGATCTCTTCTGAATGTAATTTCAAGCTGAGATAAAAATTTATTCATGCCAGCCAAAAGGGTTTGAGGACTAGAAGAAAAATAAGGCCAATTTTTATTAAATTCTACTCCTCAAATTTAACTTTTTGGGATAAAGAATCACTGTTCCCTCTAATTCCCCAATCCTAAGTCATCTGGATAGTAGTATAACCACAGCATATTATAAACTCTATGTTCTGAAATGTCTTCGTGTGTTCTCTATAGTTTGGCTATAATATATTTGTGCAAAACTTAATTTAACTTGTTGCTGATCTGGAAAAAAACATTTAAGAAGTACTACAGAAAAGCAAAGATCATTAGGAAATTACAGAATTTCAAATCTGACGTTTTTAGGGGAGAAAAGACTTTAACAGAAAAGGTAATATTTATGTTGGAAATTAGGCACTGGAGGGAGTATTGTACAACATAATGATTTCTAGTAATAAGAACTTTTAAAATGTCTGCTTTATTCATCCTAAATCATGCTAAATCACATCACATATGTGGAACATTTTATAAACATAAATACAAAGAGGATCATTATTTGAATAAATAAGCCTTATATGGCCTAAGAAATGTCCCTAATCAGTAATTGATGTATAAATTTAAAATGAAAATAATGGAATTCTGGAAAGTTTAGTAAGATACTTATATTTCGACCGACCACGACCGACCGCCAGCGGGTGTGGGCCGGGCGCCGCCGGAGCGGCAAACCTGGTGTGCTCCCGTCCCCCTGTCTCCGACCGACCGCCAGCGGGAGATACTTGTATTTCATGAATGAATTATTCAAATAGCAACTCCATTCCTCCCTAATCCAGAAAATGTTATGTTGGAATCACATAAAATTACTGTTTTTATGGGTCAACAATGGTTGAATATAGTAATGGTTGAATATAGTAATTTCATATGGGTCAACCTTATATGTTAGGCTTCTCTACATCACAAATGCTCTCAAGCCAGTAAGGAGAAAAATGATAGGAAAAAAAGAGAAATAGTAAAATCATTACATTTGGGGTCTACTGTGACCTTTACCACAATCATGTAACCTATGTGGATTGATCTTTATATATCCTATGTGACACGTATGGTTTTCAAGGTTATTGCAAATTCAGAATCCTAATGTGTTTCGGAAATCCACATAATGCAGGTAAAACTTAACATAAATGAAAAGGCGAGCCCTAACTGGTTTGGGTCAGTGGATAGAGCATCAGCCTGCGAACTGAAAGGTCCCAGGTTCGATTCTGGTCGGGGGCATGTACCTTGGTTGCAGGCACATTTCCAGTAGGAGGTGTGCAGGAGGCAGCTGATCAATGTTTCTCTCTCATCGATGTTTCTAGCTCTCTATCCCTCTCCCTTCCTCTCTGTAAAAAATCAATAAAATATATATTTAAAAAAAAAAAAAAAAAAAAAAGGTGAGAGGCTCAGAACTCTATATGCTTATCCCCCTGGGCCAGGAGTGCTATACATTGTCTGAAAACGATTCTGCCGGATCCCATCCAGTATTCCATGTGAATAATCTTGGATGTCAGTGTATAATTTCTATTTCTGGCTATCTTTCCTTCTTAAAAATTAAAATGGTTTGAGTCCACAGGTGGCTCAGTTAGTTGGGGCTTTGTCCCATATACCAAAAAGGTAGTGGGTGGGTTCGATTCCCAGTCAGGGGCGAGTATGGTAGGCAACCAACAGAATGTTTCTCTCTCTCTCCGCCTTCCCCTCTCTCTAAAAATCATTTAAAAAAACCATATCCTCAGGTGAGGACTAAAAAAAAAAAAAAAAAAAAAATAGTATGAGTAGTGTTTATAAGCTTATTGGAAAATTTTAAATAACTTTCTAATTATTAAAAGTTATAATTAGGCTGAATATTTTCGAAAGTAGTTTTACCTGTTTGCAACTGTGTTCTTAGATGGAACACCATCAAAAACAATGACTCGATCTGCTAGATAGGTGGCCATGATGAAGTCATGTTCCACAACAAAGGCTGTCTTCTTAGCATGGAGTATGAAACTAAAACACATAATTGCAAAATCACATAGTTTTATATAATCAAATATTCAAATGCTATATTAAGCACAGCTGTATGCCAGTACACATAACCAAAAATACTTTCATGAGGTCATTACCGTTTGACAACTCGAGCTGCCATCAATCTTTGTTCAGAATCCAAATATGCAGATGGTTCATCAATTAAATAGACATCAGCAGGTTTGCCCAAACAAAGAGCTAAAGCTACTCGCTGCAGTTCACCACCAGATAATGTCTGTACCTATTTGGAGAAGGTTAGCACACCATTTAGAGACATCCAGTTTAAAATAATAAAATAACAAAAAAATTAGAGTACCTCTTGATCGATGATGTTTTCAATTTGCAGAGGCTTCATTACATCAGTCACAAATTGTGGATGAGTATAAGCATCTCGTATCTTTTCATGTAGTAATTGTCGAACACTTCCCTGTTTTTAATGGATAAATATTGAAATTTTATTTCAGTACAGAACTACTCTAATTATGAATTGTAACAAAGTTAAGTTCCAGAGCAAAACTATGTCAATTTGCCACCAATAGATATCAATGGTGTTTTTATGCTTATCTGTCATCTATGGCATGTTCTGAAAATTTTAAATTAAACCCATCATGTCCAACAATAAAAAGAAAAGCAATAATCTTGAAATTTGAAAGTAATAAATGATGAATGTTTCAGGGGAGAAGTCATTGAGAGTAGGAATAATTCTCAAGGTCAATGTATCAGTAAGATAATACAAACTGATAGGATGAATCTTAAGATGCACTGCTGATTATTTCTGGAGAGGTCTGAGTTTGAGAACTTAAAAGGTAAGCTTAGCCGGGCTGGTGTGGCTCAGTGGTTGAGCATCGACCTATGAACCAGGAGGTGATGTTCGATTTTCGGTCAGGGCACATGCCCAGGGTTGCGAGCTCGATCCCCAGTAGGAGGTGTGCAGAAAGCAGCTGATCAATGATTCTTGTCATTGATGTTTATATCTCTCCCTTCCTCTCTGAAATCAATAAAAAAAATATTTTTTTAAAAAGGTAAGCTTTATAGAAAGTATCAATGGTAAAATTTTTTATTATAAGCTAAGCCACCTCAAATAGACCTAAGAGAGTGTTGAGGTACTGAGTATGGATATTGTAGTCAAGAAGTTCATTACAACACCTGCAGAAACTAGAGATTAACTTCATGTTTTCAAGGTTCATCCATATTACAACATGTATTAGTATTTTACTTCTTTTTATCGGTGAATAACATTAAATTTTTTGGATATACACAGTGTTTATTCCATTCATCAGCTGATGGACATTTAGGTTATTTCCCACATTTTGGCTATTATGAATAATGTATTTGTGTGCAAATTCTTGTGTTCAGATAGTCTTCATTTCTCTTGGGGATATGTCTAGGAGTGAAAGTGCCGGTTCGTATGTAACTATGTTTAATTGTTTGAGGAACTGCTAAGTTGGTTTTCAAAGTGGCTGCACCATTATACATTCCCACCAGCAATGTATGAGGTTCATATTTCACCAATACTTCTTTTTTTTTAAGTCATTCCAGTGGGTGTGAAGTGGTTATTACACTGTGGTTTAGATTTTCATTTCCCTAATGACTAATGATGCTGAGCATCTTTTAATGTGCTTATTGAGCATTTGTATATCTTCTCTGGAAAAATGTATATTCAAATCTGTTGCTTATTTTTAAATTAGTTTTAAGAGTTCTTTATATATTTGAGATAAATGATTTACAAATAGCTTATTCCATCCTGTGAGAGGCCTTTTCACTTTCTTGATCATGTTATTTGCAGCACAACACTTCAGGTTTTTAAAGGTTCATTTTGGGAAAAGATGCCTATCAGATTTTAAAAGCGTTTTCTTAGTGGAAATGAATCGACTATAGTCATAATACCTTTTCTAGACCTTTAAAAGCATATGTTTTTATTGATTTCAGAGAGGAAGGGAGAGGGAGAGAGAGAGACACATATCAATGATGAGAGAACTATTGATTGGCCACCACCTGCATGCCCCCTACTGGGGATCAATCCTGCAATCAGGGCATGTGCCTGGATCGGGAATCGAAGTATGACCTTGTTCATATATCGAGGCTCAACCACTGAGCAATGCTGGCTGGACTCTAGACACTTTTTGATAAAACTGTACAGAAACTAATTTGAATTTTGATATAGAAAAGATTAACATTATATATATGTTTATGTGTATGTATGTGTGTGTGTGTGTGTGTGTATGTGTATAAACTTTAATAACCAAATAACAGAATAACTCACAGTTGATTTGGGACTGATTTTCTGTGGCTTATAACTGACATTTAAAACTGGTACTTCTCCTGCAAAATAATGCAAATAAAACACTGAACACTGCCCAGATCTTTAACATTTACTATGTAGAACTGAGTAAAAGGAATCAAGATTACAACAGTACCTCCTTCATCAGGTTTCAGTCTTCCAGCAAGCATTCTGATAAATGTCGTTTTACCAGTACCTGGCAACACAACATACAACAAATTGACTTGAAAGATGCTCCACATTTAGTGTAAATCACTATGTACTACTGGGTTTTAATTGAGAAATTAGTTTTAAAGATATACACTGACACTACTGAATTCTGAAGGTCATGCAGAGAAATACTTTCATGATTCACCTCTCAAGTATCATTCTAAACTAATTAGGAGGAATATAAACTAGTTAAAACTAATAATGACCACTTTAATAAATGATAGGCCTAAGTATTAGACTTTGGCTACTTTTTAAAATATGATATTTAGCTAAAATGTCAATGCATACAATTTATTAAGACAGAATAGTATAATTTATACCATCATTATGAAGACCATTTACATGAAATATTTAAGTTAATTGCAACCCAGTTCAAAATTCCTTCATTAACTAAAGGCTGATACATTGAACAACCCTCATAAAAATGTTCTTCCACAGTTTTATAAGCTACTAGAGGCCCAATACACAAAATTTGTGCAAGGGCGTTGGCCCTGGCCCCTGCCCACCACCGCCACGGCTGGGGGTCCTCTACCGCGACCCCTGCCCGCTGCGGCTTTGTCCAGAAGGAATGACATCCGGTCTAATTGGCATATTAGGTTTTTAAAGGTTCATTTTGGGAAAAGATGCCTATCAGATTTTAAAAGCATTTTCTTAGTGAAAATGAATCGACGACTATAGTCTTAATACCTTTTCTAGACACTTTAAAAACATGTTTTTATTGATTTCAGAGAGGAAGGGATAGGGAGAGAGAGACATATCAATGATGAGAGAACCATTGATCTCTATGGCTCAATAACTCATTTTTAACTTTTATTATTATAGATAGTATACCATTCAAATGTTTTTTTTTGTGTTTGTTTGTTTTTAAATGATGAAAGCAATATCAGATATTTGGTACTCAAATTCATCTCATAATTATATTTATGATGGCAACATAATATTAAAAAGTGCTGGTAATAGAACTATTTACAAAGGTAGACTAGTTTGGATTTGAAATAAGAAAATCTCCAAAAGAAAAAGTGCAAGAACATTTAAAACATGATTGCTTGTGAATTGCAAATAGTTTCCTTCTTATCAGTATTCTATGTGAATAAATGCCCTATCAATTTATAAATAGAGAAACTAGATTTCAAAATAATCTTATTTTTACTGAAGGTTATAAGACAAAATAATATGAACTTGATTGAATGACAGTGAGATTAAATCACATAATGTTACAAAATGTGAACTATACTGAGAAATGTATGGATTCAATCCAGCTTCCAGTATAACTTAGTTTTTCATGGAGCAGTTAAAATTAAGTTACTAGGTAAACAGAACAGATGTTCACATATCATAAAATTAGAAAAACTTACCATTTTCCCCCAACATCACCATGATTTCAGAATCTGTAAACTCTCCAGCTACAATTGCTAGCTCAAACTCTCCCATCTTTTTTCTCATTCCAGGATATTTATACATACACATTTTTTTAACTTCTTCTTCATTTGCTGTCTCAGCCACTTTAAAAACAAGTGATGCATCTCTGAATCTCAAATTTTCTGTTGGAACGTAGCCATCCAAAAAAATGTTTATGCCTATTGAAAAATCATTGACAACAGATTAGTAAAGATCAATTAAAAAAACTTTCTCTACAGCAAGAAATTATTACATAAGAGTTCAAACCTCAGGCTCTCTCGGGATCACTGTAAGCACAGGCTTTTAATTTCTGTGGATTTATGATAACATGTAGTGACAACCCAGTGTTTTATGTATCTAATGAAAGTTTAAATAATTCGTGCACATATATGTGGCCTATATATATACACACACATACAAAGAACATCCTTTCATTACGATGTGATTTTATAAGACATTTCCCCCAGGAGTTTTAATGCAAAAGCATACGATGCCATTTCTGCTGCTCATTTTTAACTCACAAATTGTAATTTTTCTCTAAAAATGACTAAAAGTGGATTATTTTCATAGATTGACATAAAATGATATAAAATAGTCTGGGGAATAACTTTAAAAAAGCAACAAGTTCCTTTTTTTTAATATTTTTATAGGAAGGAAGAGTGAGATAGAAACATCAATGATGAGAGAATCACTGATTGGCTGCCTCCCGCACGCCCCCTGTGGGGGACCAAGCCAGCAACCCGGGCATGTGCCCCAAGTGGGAATTGAACCACAACCTCCTGGTTCATAGGTTGATGCTTAACCACTAAACCACGCCAGCCAGGCTGGGGATTAATTTTTTAAATAAACTATTTAAATTACGAGTATTTATTTTCACATGAGCTATAATTATACATTGAGGTTATAATTTACTGCATTTATCCCAATTATTTTTGCAGGTTTCTAAAACATTGATAATAATGAACTTCATTTGACACTTTTTGGCTTCATTTTACAAAGTCAAACACCATTATCTAAAAGGTTTTAAAGACTGGCTAGTGTCACTCAGTGGTTGAGTGTTGACCCATGAACGAGGAGGTCACAGTTCCATTCCTGATTGGTTTGGGCACATGCTCAGGTTTCGGGCTTGATCCTCAATAGGGGGCATGCAGGAGGCAGCTGATCAATGATACTTTCTCATCATTGATGGTATCCCTCTCTCTTTTCCTCTCTCTGAAATCAATAAAAAACAAAACATTTAACAGGATATAAAAACTGGAAATAAACTAACTTATTATACATGAGAATCCTTTCACACTAAAGTTGATAAGATCCATAATGGCAGACACAGAAATTAAAAAGTGGATTATTTGGGAAACAAATAAAAACACTCTTTTCCAGTATTTGCTATATATAAGAGAAGTAAGAGAAAGACTGGCTGAAGTTTTGGAAGGTCTTGAAAGGAAGTCTAAGAATGTTATTTGTTTCATCTGGAACTGAGAGCCACATCAGGGGGCCTGTTAAGCTCAGCCTAAAACATAGGTGTGTTCAATAAATATTTGCTGACAGAACATATGAAGAGATACATTGATTTTGCCAAAAATAGCATTAAAAAAAAATCTTTATGTGAGGTTAAAAAAATTAAAACCAAAAATTAAATAAAAACATAAACTTGAAGGAAAGGAACCTTAGTGAACATTTAGTCCAAGTGCATAATTTACAAGGTAAAAGGAAGATGCAGAGAAATAAGGGACTTTGAGCAAAACATTAAACATTAATAAATCAACCTTCACATTCTTACTGCAATGTTTGTCTTACCGCTTTTACAGTTGAAAGAGTTATATATTTTGCTTTAATTTCAGTTTTACTAAAGGAAAGCAGAAAGATTAAGTGGTTTTCTATTTGAATTGTTTTAACATAAGGCACATTAAAAACCTCACCAGGGATTATTTTTTCAGTGGCAAAGCCTTTCACAAGGCATTCATAAACAGAATTGACAAGTGATTATCCACATAATTTTCAACAAGATTGTAGAACTACTACTACTATATGCTAGAGTAGATACTCAAGTCGGCGTGGCTCAGTGGTTGAACATTGACCTATAAAGCAGGAGTTCACGGTTCGATTTCTAGTCAGGGCACATGTGCAGGTTGTGGGGGGTGTGCAGGAGGCAGCTGATCAGTGATTCTCATCATTAATGTTTCTATCTCCCTTTCTCTCTGAAATCAATAAAAATATATTTTAAAAAATATTTATATATTTTTATAAAATAAAAAAGCTACCACTACCTTTTTATGCAAAATGTATAATGCAATAGAAATTTCTTTTTCCAAAAGGGCTTTAGGTATCACAAAGACTATTACTAATAGACTGCTATTTTTTAAAAATATGGACTAAGTAGTCCTTTTCGGTATTCTAGGTTGTCAGCTGAAGGCAGAGCCAAAGAGAAGAAATATAAAGGAAAATAAAAGAAAGAAAGCAGAGAAAGGAAATAGAAATGAAAAGGAAAAGGCATATCAGATGGAGAGTGCACAGATATTGTTTCAGGAGCCAGTTAGTGGTAGGCTAGTTTTTACTTTTGTCTAACTTGCTTAGGTAGGGAAGAGCATGGAAAAGAGAGGCCAGAGAGGCCCTCTTTCCTGCAAGTAGAAGGAATACATAAAAATATACTAAGTTATTTTACTAGACTTATAGTCAGTTCCTAAATATATACTTATTTATATAAGTATATATACTTACTAAACTATCTTATTAGACTTTTAGGCAGCCCTAATTCTACAAACTTAGGATAGATAACATACATTTGAAACAAGATAAGCACTAAAAGAATTTTAAGAGTTTCACTACTGGTATTGGCCTGTCACAGATGAAGTTGAAGATGATATATAAAAGTTTCTACAGAAGCTCAAATATAAAAGAAACTTTTAATAAATAGTAAAACTATTTATTAATAAATAAATAAATAAATAAATAGTAAAACTATTCAGCCAAGTTTATTTCTATCCACCCCAACAGAAAATTCTCCAAAAAGATACAGGTTTTGTATTATAACTGATGAATATAACCAAATATATATTCTGTTACATGATTAAATTTCATGAGACTAGAGTTTTAGATAAGTCATATTAGAGGGACTTAATATCAACAATAGTACATTTTCTTAAGCATTAGAGTAGAGAGAATACAGCATTGTGAAAACAGTTTTGCAAGTTACCTTCTCTTACACTAAAAGGCATAGTGACAACACCGTATGCACTTGGTACGCCATATAAACAGCAGATGAAGTCAGAGAGATAATCTAATACACTTAGATCATGCTCCACCACAATGATATATCTGAAAATTAATATAGATTTAAGATGTAACAATATATATAACATTAAAATTATATTTAATTATAACTGCTATGTAACTTTTATAAACCACAGTGTAAATTTCAGGAAAAGATATATATTTTCAAAAAATTAAGTATAAAGACCATATTAAACAAAAGCCATAAAATATTTCTTTAAATATGACTCTATCAATGTTCATATTTCAAACTGGTATCCTAAACTAAAAGAAAAAAGAGTTAATATTAAATATATAAGAAATATATTTTACTAATATACATTTTAAAATAAACTTTACAAAGCAGAAACAATTAATAGATTTAAATCAGATGTAGCCTAACTGATTATTATGCTATTCTCCTTACACATTCAATCTCTCTACTTGTCCCATGCTGGCTGTGGTAGGGGATGCATGGAGAATCACAGACAGAATCCTGAATCTGAGAATTTCCAATATAGCTGGGAAAGACAAATCTCACTCACTTTCTTCAGGTCCCTAGACATGGCTCTCAGTTTCCAAAGAAACAAATAACATAATTAGACTTTCTTTTAAGATCTTCTAAAACTGAAGCTACCATTTTTACTTCATTTATATATAGGACATACTGAAAAATGGGTCTTTCATTATTTCCTAAACAATCCACTTTTCCATTTGTGTGTTTCAGGGGTATTCTATCTTCTAAAACGTCTCCTGCCTAAATCCTCACTTGTTGGAAGTCCCTCCTACCATCTCAAATCCTAACTTCTGTAGGAAGACCCTTATAGTCAAATGAATGTTCATTCCCTCATTCTTGAACTTTTGTCACTCTGATCTAATACTTGTACTGAGTACCCTACAACTTGTTCACAAACACCCTGAAGGCTGCAATGATCTTTACTCTTGTTATCCATCAAACAGATATTGAATAAAGTTGTTGAATGATGAGGAATTTGGACTTATGTTAATAGGCAATGGGGAAAATGATAGGTTCTTAAACAGCATTATCCAGTAGAACTTTTCTTGATTATGGAAATGTTCTATGTTGTCCCATCTGGTAGCGATTAACTACACGGAATGCGCAGCACTTAGAATGTAACTAGTTTGATTAAAGAAATGAATTTATTTCAATTAAAATAAAAATAGCAAAATATGGCTAGAAGCTACAGCCCAGTTTTAGAATAAAAGAATTATATGAAAAATCATCACTTCAGGAAGATTAACCAGGCAAGAAGAACCATACTTTCTTAAAGGAAGCTGTCACAGTAATCCAGGTGTCAGGTAGTAAAAGTAGGAATGAAAAGTAGGGGGAAAATTTAATATGAAAAGGAAGTATTAGTGAGCCAATACTCACCCTGCCTTATGTTTCTGTTGGCAATATTCCATTACCTGGAATAGTCCTCTGTTTTTTACCATTAAAATCTTTAAGGCCCAATGTAAGGCAACACAGTATTATCTAGTGGTTTTTAATTTACTTCAAAAAGAAAAAACAAAAATCAGGTCAAACCTCCTGTTTTCCTTACTTTCAAATGGAGCTTATGCAAAAGTTCAAAATGTAAAAAAAAGCCAGCTGGTGTGGCTGACTGGTTGACCATCAATCCATGCACCAAGAGGTTGCTGGTTCGATTCCTGGTCAGGGCACATGCATGGGTTGTGGTCTCAATCACCAATAGGGCCCATGCAGAAGGCAGCCGATAGATGCTTCTCTCTCATTGATGTTTCTCTCTCTAAATCAATAAAAATCATTTAAAAAATGTAAAAAATAACTTAGGAGGACCACTCTATTTTCTGAGGATTTGGAAAAAAACAGGAATCTGCACCATAATGAGAAATCTATGCTGTGAAAATTTATACCCTACAATTAATTTTGGTTTAATTGTTGGTTTTTAATTTTACTGAAGATATTATTAGAGGTCAAATTCTAGAGAATCCCTTGTATTATTTTTCCTTTCTCCAATCCATCCTCTCTTTTTCATTGTTTACCCAAAGATAATGATCTCCCAAATCTTTGTAAAGCATTAAAGACTGAATGTGTCCTTTGACATGTAGAATTCCAGGATACAGATATACTTCTTTTAACTTGGTGTCAATTTATCACGAGAGATTATTTTAACCCTGTATCAAAGACCTAGCACATATGTGCAAATGTCTAACTCAACCATTTTCTTCACTTTGTTAATATAATTTGCTTTGACACGTTATCCTTTTACAGTGAAGGTTCTGTAGTCTGATAATTTCGGACTGTAGTGATTTGGCTGAATATTTACAAATTGAGATACATGTCAGCTGGTTATAAATCACTAACTTTTTCATTATGGTTAGGCCATTACTTGATATTTTTTAAAAAATTATGTGTGAAGGTAGATTGTCTATGACTTTTATTTCAGTATAATAAAGGGATATAAATACATTTTATAAAAAAGAGCTAGGGTTTAGAACTTGACTGCTTATGTATTTTCTTTATCAGGCTGTGAAGTCCTTGAATACTGGGACTACATTTTATACTCTTGCATTCCCCAAAGAGCCAGGCCTATGTACAAGGTAAAAATTATAGCTGCTATTTGGCCCAACTAAATTTGTTTCTTTATCACTGATAGCTGAAAGATTCTATTCTAACTTAGAAGATTACTATTGGGCTCAAATGAGATAATGGATTCAGAAACTCTGCAAACTACAAAAGCACCCCATATATACAGGGTGTTATGATTACTTAACAGAGGTTAAGAATTCTCTTGTGCTCAGAAAGACCCTGAAAAACTGGAATTATCCTGTTGATCCTTATTTTCTAAATTCTGTGTGTGTCTGAGTGACACATTCATTTGAGGATCTGGTAAGAGCTAAGGATCTGCTTCCCAGAAACCCATTCATTTGTACCAGAATTTGCAGATCATTTCAGAGCATTCATAGTTCCCTGGAACCAGGCATAGTAGTAAATGATCTTGCATTAAAAACCTATATTCTAGTTAGAGGAAGGTAAATTCAAATGGTAGCTCCAAATAACCAACATGGAAAACATGCACATGTATATGATATTGATCTTTAGAAATCTGTAAAACTCCCCCCCAAAATTAACACAGGCATATGGCAAATCTGTACTTACCTATCTGGATTTATTAGGGATCGGATAGTAATAGCAGCCTTTAAACGCTGCTTGACATCTAGGTAACTAGAAGGTTCATCAAACATGAAACTATGAAAAAGAAAAGCAAACATAATTTGAAAGAGAAGTATGACATAATTCTATCTTGCATGTTATTTTAAAACCCTATAATATAGTTCATGTTTGGCAACAACAAAAATCCCCCTATTCTAACGAGGAGTCTACACTGTAAGAGTAAAAACTTCTGTATTTTGTTCAGAAGAGAAATTACGAAAAGCCGAACTGCATATTGAATATGGAGAGACACTCCCAGATTAGGCTACCTTACAAATTGTTACCTGCTTGTGAAAAATATTCTGATTTAGTCCAAAGTAATACAGAGAGCTTTTCTCTTAAACAGCTGAAGTCAGTTGCATTAAGTAAGTTTCTGGAGTGGAGGGCAGTGCACAGAATTATAGACTAGAGAGCTAGCCTGCTTTGGATGCCAGAGCAAAAACGTGGAATATGGGAGCAGGAAGTATTGGGGAGGAGAGAGGCACTGGAAGGTAGGAAGGAAACTGGCCCTTTTTACTCTCACATAGCATGCCACCCTGATTCAGAGTTATCTAAAAGACCTTGTATTCTACTTGAGGTATTTATAAAAAACTTGCTGGCTTTGTTAGAGAGCTTAATTAAGTCTGAAAAAATATTCTTCTTATGTACAAAGAGAGTTTAAATAATAAACAACTTACTTCATAGTAAAAAGCTCAGGGCCCCATCAATTGTAAAGTATTTATCTAAATAAATGAGTTTCTCCCCCTGTAGGAAGAACAGGTAGAATGGGCAGTTGATGCACAGCTGCTTCAGCTTACCTCAAAATGAGAATCTTAGATACTACTTGTATTGTTTCTCTCAAAACCACCGTTTTATTAGCAGTATTACAAATAAAAGCTCTAAAGTAAGGATTGAGATCTATAAAAGGTATAAGGTAACCTACATGTCAGCTTTCTGTATGCAAACAACAGCACAAGCAAATCTCTGCAACTCTCCTCCTGAAAGATCTTCCACATTTCGTTCTTTTAGATGGGTTAGATCTACAAAGAACATAGAGGCATTGTGTTTAACATTATAAGTTTTATTTCACCTCTGCTAAGTAAAATTTATATTGTAGGTCATTCTGAGTTTGACTTTCAGTTGGAAATTGTGCAAAATAAAAAGTAAAGATGACAACTACCAGAGATTTCCCATATCTAATCTAATAAAAGGGAAACATGCAAATTGACCATACCTCTGCTATGCCCCAAGCCATGCCCACCAGCCAATCAGAGCGACTATATGCAAATTAACCCAACCAAGATAGCGGCCAGCAGCCAAGGAGCTGGAGCAAGCAGGAAGCAGGAGGCTTGGTTGCCCTGGCGATGGAGGAAGCCAAGCTTCCTGCCTGCCCTGGCTGGCTCTGGCCTCTGCTCAAGGCAACAAAGTTTCAATTATAGAAGATAAATAAATCCCAGATACCTGCTTCCAGCCAGCCTCCACTGGGAGCTTGGGTGGCTGGGGGCTGTGGCCAGCCTGCAAACAGCCATCAGCCCCTCACCCAGGCTGGCCAGGCACTCCAGAGGGGACCCCCATCCTGAAGGGGGTGTGGCCAGTCTGAAAACGGCCCTCAGTCCCTCACCCAGGCTGGCCAGGCACCCCAACGGGACCCCCACCCTGATCCGGGACACCCTTCCGGGCAAACCAGCTGGCCCCCACCCATGACCAGGCCTCCATCCTATATAATAAAAGGGTAATATGCAAATTTACCCTAACAGCAGAATGACTGGACACTATGACACACACTGACCACCAGGGGGCAGACGCTCAATGAAGGAGCTGCCCCCTGGTGGTTAGTGCGCTCCCACAGGGGGAGCTCTTCTCAGCCACAAGCCAGGCTGATGGCTGCCAGTACAGCGGTGGTGTTGGGAGCCTCTCCTGCCTCCTCAGCAGTGTTAAGGATGTCCGACTGCAGCTTAGACCTGCTCCCCGCTGGCCAGTGGACACCCCCTGAGGGCTCCTGGGCTGCCAGAGGGATGTCTGACTGCCAGCTTAGGCCCATCCCCCAGGGAGCGGGCCTAAGCAGCAGGTGGACATCCCCTGAGGGTTCCCAGACTGCGAGAAGGCACAGGCCAAGCTGAGGGACCCCCCTGAGTGCACAAATTTTTGTGCACCGGGCCTCTAGTATTTCAACAATCCATATAAAGACATTTGTTTTATAATTTAAGTTTAGGACCTATTAAAACACATACACAAAATAAACACTTACCAAGCTGTTGACATACAATTGCTTGTGTCTTTGTTTCATCCTTTCGGTCCAAAATAGACCCTACGGTCCCCTGTCATAATATACCAAAAACAGCCATTACTGTTTTCCTCCAATATTAAAATTAAATTCAATGTTAAAATCCCTTCAATCTTTGCTTTAATTTAATATGTTTTTTTATATCTCCATCAATATCTATAAAGTATAAATTCTTCCTAAAAAGCAACTGACCTTTGCAGCCTTGGGAATCTGGTCTACGTACTGAGGCTTGATAATAGCTTTGAGGTCATCTTCTAAAATCTTGGTAAAGTAATTTTGCAATTCAGACCCACGGAAGTAAGTCAAAATTTCTTGCCAATCCGGTGGATCCTAGAAATATAAATATAATTACCTGAATTTAATTTAATAATACAATTGCAAGGAGGATGACTGTTACACAAAATAGAACATGTGTCCAAATAGAATACTTCTGGCTTCTAACTTAATCTTAATATTGAGGATTTAATTTCAAATCAAGGTATACCAACTCATAACAGTTTAATAAAACTCAGAATAATCAGATAAGTAGCACCAACAGATTTTAATTAAAAAATGGAGTTTCATCTATGTATAGTTTCTTAGCATTAATTCCACAAATAATTTTAAAAATAACTTAAAAAAAAAAAAAAAGACACAGCCCTAGACGGTTTGCATCAGTGGATAGAGCATTGGTTAGCCTGTGGACTGAAGGGTCCCAGGTTTGATTTTGGTCAAGGGCATGTTACCTCAGTTGCAGGCTCGATCCCTGGTCCTGGTCAGGGTGCATGTGGGAGGCAACTAATTAATGTATCTCTCTCAAATTGATGTTTCTCTCTCTCTGTCTCTCCCCCTTCCTTCCACTCTCTCTAAAAATCAATGGAAAAATATCCTTGGGTAAGGATTAACAAAAGCAAAATAAAACAAAACAAAATGACATATACACTCTCTTCCAGTCTCACAAAACCAACCCAAGATATCTATTTTTTATAAGGTGGTAATACATACATCGTACTTTCCAAGGTTTGGCTTTTGCTTTCCTGCTAAAATTTTTAAAGCAGTTGACTTTCCAATCCCATTAGTTCCAACTAATCCCAAAACTTCACCTGGACGAGGGATAGGTAACCTGCCAAAGTATACAAAAATAAAAAAACTCAGAAAAAGCTACATAATATCAGAATGGCATACTTTAATACACTTGCACTCCACACACATCCATTAAGCTAAGAGATATATGCCAGATATTATTGGCTATTAGAAAAAACCCCAGCCAAGATCAACTTAAACTGTTAATTGTTAGAAATGCATCTATGGCAATATTACTCCAAGTTTTATTTATTCAAAGTCTGTACTAAAGTAACAATTATTCTTTGCATATAAGGCTCAGTTTTAATGTATAAAAAAATGGTTTGGTAAAAAATATCATAGCAGGTGCAACCTCACACTGTTGTTTTTGTTGTTGTTGTTTTCCTGCCACTTACTTACAAGGGAGAAGTGCCACATCAACCAGAAATATTCCACTTCATTCTCCCTGCTGCAGGAGGCCCCTTAAAGCTGGCAGGTTGAGAAATACCTTTTTATTAGTAAAATCTAGACTTCCAGATTAAAAATATCAGTGTTTAGCAGATAAAAACCCTCAAAGGACTCCTGTAATTTAATAGTATATGTCCAAGTTCAGAGTAATATTCTCTGTTGATCATGAAATCAATAAATAAAATCAAGGACAAGTTTCCTTAAAAGTCATTTTGGGAATACAGGTTTATTAACAATAGTGATTCTCAACCCCAGATATATACTAGAATCATCTTGGAGCTTTTACAACTTACTGAGGTCCAGACTTTTCATCCAGAGATAGGACGTAACTCAACTGGGCTGAAACCTGGGCATTAGTTTTAAAAAGACCCCCAGGTAACTCTAATGCTAGCCAGAATAAACAACTGACATATATGATTCCCTGTGATGTTACAATATTGTATTTCTCTTTAATGTATGGATAATACAGTTTTTTCCCAGTCTTGCATATCTCTGAAAATTCCAAATGCATTTTATGGAAGTAAAGAGGAAAGTTTACTTGAAAATATACCTGTGAAGTTTGAAGGCATTGGCACAATATCGATGTGTTGTTTCTTTTTCCAAGTTGCTCGGTAAATTGACAATTGATAAGGCGCCAAAGGGGCATTTCTGTTATTTAAAGTAAAGAATTAATTTTGTGCTAATTTTTACAAATAAACAGTTGACTAAAATGGAAAGATTAAGTAGTTTTTATAAGCAATCTTCTCAAGATGGAGTTGCCCAAAGATGTAAAATATTTTTTATTTCCTTAAAAGTTTCTAGAAGGCAAAATTGTATCAACTAATTTTGCATTACCCTTAGTGACTGCCATAATCTTAGACATTTAATGTTCATTTAATAATTATTGAAAAACTACAGAACTTGGAAGTTTTGTGTGCATTTGTTTACATTATTAGATAAAAGAAGGCAAGATAAAACATGGTTATTGAGTACTATACAACTGCATATTCAGCCTATGACAGATTCCTTCCCTCTACTTCCTTATTCCTGTCTTTGTATACAGCTGTTTACCTTAAGTCCTTTAAGGTCATGGATTGTACCTTTTTTGTCTATTTATGTCCCAACAACAGCTAGCATAACATCTGGATAGAGCAAGGATTAATGTCTTTCTGCTGTGATTTTTTAACTTTCCATATGAAAAAGATGTTTCTTATTCCAAGTAAATTCACATGAAAAAAAGATTTATTCATAGAAAACCTTATTCAAATAATACTTGACTAGTAATCAGATAAATGGCTATGAAACAAGAATGGCAAGAACTGGAGGTTAATTTAAGAGTGGTAATGTGGCCCTGCTAGCGTGGCTCAGTGGTTGAGTGTCGACCTATGAACCAGGAGGTCAGGGTCTGATTCCCCATCCGGGCACATTCCCGATCCCCAGTGTGGGGTGTGTAAGAGGCAGCCAACCAATGATTCTCATCATTGATGTTTCTCTCTCTCTCTCCCCCTCCTTTCCTCTCTGAAATTAATATATAAAGAGTGGTAATGTGGCTAGAGGAACTTATCAGATAACTTCAAAAAGGTACATCCCAGAGTATAATCTCACATTTGAGATTTGTTTAGCAGAAGAACTGTTCAGTGAGCTCAGGGACCAATTCAAAGTCTCTGTATAGAAAAATTTCAGTGAGTTCTCATTATATGTTATAAGAACATAGATAATTAAACAAATAAAACTTTTGCTTTCTAAATAAATAATTACTACCCTCTAAACCAGGGGTGGGCAAACTTTTTGACTCGAGGGCCACAATGGGTTCTTAAACTGGACCGGAGGGCCAGAATAAAAGCATGGATGGAGTGTTTGTGTGAACTAATATAAATTCAAAGTAAACATCATTACATAAAAGGGTACAGTCTTTTTTTTTTTTTTTAGTTTTATTCATTTCAAATGGGCCGGATCCGGCCCGCGGGCTGTAGTTTGCCCACGGCTGCCCTAAACAAAACTATTAATTCTTTACATGAGATATTTCTCTGCCAATCAAGTTACCCTCATTTACAGAATTCTTTTTATTCCATCAATGTACACAAAATACTTATAGGCTAAAGTAATTTAAACTTCTCTAAATCTACAAGGGAAAAAATATCCACACTGTTCATATATGAAGTGAATTATAAGCATTTTAATTTTGGGGTATATACTATCCTCCTCCCCAAAATAGACATCACATTAGTATCTTTTCAGCCACTGAAGTGCATACCCCAAATTTTGGAACCTCATTTTCCTACAGCAGTGAAAAAAGAAAATAAAGTTCTTTCTTCATAGAATTAAAAATATATTACTCAAAATCAGATTTCCAGCACCAGAGAACATTGGTATATAAGAGTATTTGCTGGAAGAAATATTTCCTGTTTCTATTTTCAAAATAAGGGAAATACCTTCTTTCAGGTATTTTCTTTCTGGAAGCCAATGCAGAATACACATGAAGCTTATTAGAATAAGTAACAGGGTGGTATCCATACTCTGGTAAAGGTCCTTTCTAAAATGCACTATTTACGAATAAAAACACCTAAATTAAGAACTTTGTGAACTGGCTCCTAATTATCTTTCATGAATTTAAGTTGGAAATTCATAATTTTTAAGTCAAAAGCCTTAATCAAACTTTTCAATGCAACAAAAACTAATTTGGGGTATTTTGAAAAATTATACTAATGGAATAAATTCAACAAGAGAAGAATGTACAATACAGCAGAAAAAGCACTTAAAGATTAGGTTAAATTAAAAAAATTTGGCCATATGCACTTCTATTTAAAAGCTGCAAATTTAGCTCTAGCCAGTTTTGCTCAGTGAATAGAATTTTGGCTCTCAGAGTGAAGGGTCCTGGGTTTGATTCTGGTCAACTGCATATACCTCAGTTGCAGGCTTGATCCCTGGTCCTGGTCAGGGCATGTGCAGGAGGCAACCAATCAATGCATCTCTCTCACATTAATGTTGATGTTTCTCTTTATCTCTCCTTTCCACTCTCTCTAAAAATCAATGGAAAAATACCCCCACAGTTGCAAATTTAAAGTTATATGGACTTGAAAAAATGTATGTTATATAATTCATATTTTTAGAATTCATATTTCCAAACAGTTCTGGTGAAGAATATCCTTGTCATAAAAAGGTGGAAATATATATATATATATATATGGTTGGAAATGGCTTTACAAAATTGAGTATTTTTATTTCTAAATAAAAATTTGGCCTAATTACAAATCAATAATATTAGATTATTGATGTAAGTACAAAATTTATATTCTTTACTCATTGCTTTATATTTTGCCTCTTTTAAAACAATTATATTCAGAATTTTCAGATTTCATTTTCAGGTTATAAATTTGATTCAGTAAATAAAGTATCACTTACCTTAATACAAATACCACAGCCAATACAAAGAGTTTCAGAAATCCAAGCTATTTTGCACTGGGGTGTAACCTCAATACATAGTTTTCCTGGCAAAAGAAAAATACTCTTATGAGGCAAGAGGGAGATGACTCTAATATATTTATTTTGTTTAATTTACTACAGGGGAAGAAAATATGCTGGTAAAATTGTGGCAGATCCTAAAAGTTTTATTTTTAAGCTGACTGACCTAAATATTTAATTCACAAAATATGCCTTGCAAATGGTAATGTGTATCAGAGAAAAGAATGAAATAAGTTAGCTAGATCAGTTAAATTCTAAAAAGTTAAGTAGTTATCTAATATACAGACAAAATTAAACTTGGCATATAAACAGGAATATTAATAATGGATTTTCTGAACAGCATGGAAGACTATACTAGATGACATCTAAAGTCTCTTTTAAGATTCAATAAGCCTATACAGTGGGGTCTTGACTTAAGAGTGTCCCGACTAACAAGTTTTTCGAGATACGAGCCGTCTCTCGGCCGATTTTTTGCTTTGAGTTGTGAGCTAAAATTCGGGTTACGAGCCAGCTTCAGATACCCCATCGCTAGTTGGAGCAGCGAACGTCACAGTGAATGCCACAACATCAGCCCAGCATCATGTGTCATTGTAATGGTGAAAATTGATTTGACATATGAGTAATTTGAGTTATGAGCTCCGTCATGGAACGAATTAAACTCGTAAGTCAAGGCCCCACTGTACCTCACTAGTACATTTAAAGTTACAATTACTTTAACACAGTTCTAAAGATTACAAACAATTCATCCATTCTGAATTGCTGTAAATTTATTTTATCTTGAAAATATAGCAAAATCTCATGAACAGTGATTCTTATTAAGCTCTTTAAAGTGAGAATATTATCAAATACAAACATGGGCAATCCTTTCTCCATGACTTAGAGTAATTACAGGATTTTGTAGAACAGTAAGAATATCAGTAACTTGAACTCTGGTTTGACTTCATATTCAATAAACTTTTAAAAATACTGATACTAATACATTATCCTATAATTTAAAAGAAACAGAATCATGTAGTCATAAAACAATAAAAAATTCAGAACAAAATCTGGTCTCTTTACATTTCAAAGAAACTAATGGCAAAAGTCTAGACAACTATGAAGCCAACTTGTTCCTTTTAAAATTTTACTCTTAATCTTTAAATGATCCATGGAATAGCTTACCCATTCGAACCACAGGACAACTCTTTTTGCACTCTTGCCGACATTTCTTAGGTTTACATTTGTCATGGTTGACAATAGCAATTCTTGTTAATTTATCTGCCATAATTCTAGGTAGGAATATCCAGCTCTTCTGTTAAAGAGAAATTAACAAAATTATGGCATAACCAATGCAATTAATTGAGAAACAAGTCAGGCATAAAAGTTAGATAGGAGAGACCAACCAAAAGGCTTGTATGCATGCACATGAGCATAGCCAATGGACACAGACCGGAGCAGGGTGAGGGCATGTGCTGGGGGGTAGAAGAGGTTGGGGAGAGGTCAATGGGGGAAAAAGGAGATTTATGTAATACTTTAAACAATAAAGAATTTAAAATTTAAAAAAAAGATAGGAGGACTTAAATTATCCCTATATTCCAATATGATTATCTGGAATTAGTGAAAAAACACCATCTTCCATCATCACACAAAAAAGAAATGATCTAGGAATCAACTTAACAAGACACATACAAATGTGAGGCAACTTTTAAAATATCATTGAAAAACATAAGACTCAACAAACAGAATGAGATTTTATCATAGAGAATAGTAACACTAGAGATTTCAACCTTCCCCGAATTTATACATTTAATCCAATCTCAAGGGGGTAGGGAGAGAGAGAAAATTAACCAAGCAAACCAAATTTAGAGCTCTTATGAGAAAAATAGTAACAGCCAGGAAAACTGAAAAAGAGCAGATGGAAAAACATGACATAATACACATGCTAAAGATGTTTACTCCCTCTCTCAAACTAAGCATTACTTCATGTAGTAGTACATGAATAAAACTATCCATCTCACTATAATGACTCTATTGATGAAAATAGCAATTTCCAAGATTCTGACCATTGTGTTGGTAGAAAAAGTAAAAACTGCATTTATCTGGGAATTTGCAATATGGACAAGATGAATTTTATGCTAACAGCACTGAAAAGAAAAGGAAACAAAGTAACTAAGTATAAACTGTACTCACTTTTAAAGCTTTTGTAAGTCTGGATATTTAACAGTGCCACCGATTATGTAGCTAAGGTCAAAGTGAATTTAAAAATCTTTTATAATACTGGGCTAGTGATAGACTTAAATTGACCTTACTTTTCTTAGACTCGTGATTTCAAGTAAACAAGTCCCTAAAGTGCCTTAATACACCAGTTTTTCAATATGTAATGAAAGAACCTGAGGCCAAGACTACTTACTGACAAAAACATTCTATTGGGTTTTTTTATGACTGTGATCCTCAATCCTCTTTTTTTTTTTTTTTACAGACTGGCTCCCCTTGTAGATCTCTGAGTATTTCTCACACATCTCAATATCATTATACTTGGAGGAGGATAAGAAATTTTGCTCCTCAGTGCTCCTCCCAGACTATTATTATTTCTCCCTTCTCACTAGAAGTTTCAGTATTTGCATTTCACATCATTCAACTTCTTTTGTCATTTACTGACCATCAGATCACTTGCTCCCACTCTTTGAGGATTTCAGTTGTTGGCTAACTTTCACCCTCTTTTATAACTCCTGTCCTAATTCTTGGTTCAATATGTTCATAAATGAATCACCTATTAACAGCCTCAGTTCATTAACCCCTCTCCTCCAATGATCTGGTTTTCCACCCTCCCTCAGCCACTCATTCTTTTGGTCAAACCCTTGACCTTGCCTTTACCAATAACTGCAATCCCTCCATAGTCTCCATTACAAATACCTCATTCACCAACCACCACTCTTATCTGTTCAGCTCACCCCTCTCATACACAACAATCCAAACCTTTGAATTCCCCCATTTCTCAGACCTACTATCACTATATCTTGACCCTACCACATTTCCACTTTTTCTCAACCCTTCATAGCTTCATTTCCCTCAGTACCCAGCTAAACTTCCATTGTCAACCATTTCTACTCAACTATAATCCTGGTTAAAAGCAACTTTTCACCTGCACACATACAGCTGAAAATGGACAGAGAAAACACAAAGCCATGCGGACTAGTGTCATTTCAAGTGAACCCTTGTGCCAACCAGCAATCACTATACCGATTTCCAGAGCTAAGTCCATTTGTACACTAAAAGACATCCACTAAGAATATCCCAGTCTTCCTCCTGTCTTTCACATCATCAGTTATTCTTTCCACTGGCTTATTCCATCAGCATTCAAACACACATCCCCTCATCGCTTTATATTTTTGTAGCAAGACTACTTAAAAGAGTTGCCTATAATCAACTGTTTCAAATTTCCATTTTTTCTGGAATCCATTCCAAGCTTTAGTGACTATAATTCCATCAAAATAGCTTATCATGCCATTACTCTTAATAGCTTTCCAAGAGATCTTTTTGGTTCTACTCTTACCTCCTTCTGTTCCAACCCCTGAAACAGTTCATTCTCTATACAGGAGCCAGAATGATCCTCTTAATGTGTAAGCCAATTCATGTCACACCTCTATTTGAAATCTTGCAATGGCTTCCCTACTCGCTCTGAATAAAAGCCAAAGTCCTTAAAATAACCAACGAGGCACTGACCAGCCTCTGTTAACATTCTGAGCTCATCTCCAACTAGTCTAGCTATTCATTTTGCCTGTCATGTTGGTTTCTTGCTGTTAAGTCCTAGTATATACCAGACACGTTCTTGGCATTTTCTCTTCTCTCTGCCTGTAATGCTATTCTCCATAGTGAGTTACATGGCTCACTCCTTCAAGTCTTTAATGTTTATTTGTCAGTGAGTTTTCCTTCTCTAGCTATACCATCAAAAAGTACACCCAACTGCCTTTTTGTCCCTCTTCCCTATTTTATTTTTTTCTTAGTTCTTCCTATTATATGGCAAGTTTATATGTATTCAACATATATGTATATACTATATATGGTGTATACAGAGTGGGGCAAAAGTTTATAGTGGTTCATATGGAAAATAATACAGAAATTAATAAATAATACAAGAATAAATTGTTTTGCATACTCACAACTGTAAACCTGCTTTTGCCCCACCCTGTATACACATTTATTGTGTGTATATGTATGTATACATACATAGTATGTATTTACATATTCTCTCTCTACACACACAGACAGTATTTTTCCTTCTCCAAGTAGAATGTACTCTATCATGAGGGCAGGGATTTTTGTCCAATTGTTTATCTCAGTGGCTAGACCAGTGTCTAGCACATAGTAGGAGCTGAAGCATGTGAATGAAGAAATAAGTTTAAATATAGTAAATAATTTTTCTATAGTTATAACAACTTCAGAAACCTTTCAAGTTATCAATATTTCACAGTGATGGTTATCCACTAAAGTATATATTGAAAGAAAATAAAATCACCAAAATGGACACTAAATATTTATGTAATACACTAAGTTATGTTAATTAATAGGTTCATTTTACCTCTTTAAAACCTTTAAAAACTGGTTGAGGTCTCATAAAGATTAGAAGAGGAAGAAATTAAATAACTTTTGAATTGTTCCAAAAAGCTATCATCCTGGAAGTGACAGCTCCCTGAAAACTGAAGATTTTTTAGTTAGCTATTAAAGTAAAACTGGACACCATACAAATCACATGGTGAATGAGTGTAATAAATTCTCTAGGGGATAAATCCTTTATCATGAAATTATTTAAATAAAACTTTATATCTGCCAAACTACTAAATGTTTCACCTAATTATTTCAAACCATCCTATTCTATATAATAAAAGGCTAATATGCAAATCAACTGAACAGCGGAATGACAGGTTGCTATGATGCACACTGACCATGAGGGGGCAGCCACTTAACACAGGAGCTGCCACAACCCCCCCACCCCCCTAACCCCGTCAGTGCGCTCCCACAGGGGGAGGGCCGCTCAGCCAGAAGCCACTGCAGGGGGGGGCTGAGGAGCAAGGGATCCCACACTGAGAGGGTGCAGGCTGGGCTGAGGGACCCCCGCCCCTCGCACCCTCCCTCCAGTGCACGAATCTCTTGCACTGGTGCTCTAGTATATAATAAAGTGATAAGAGGTCTAAAGATATTTCAGATCTGAAAAACTGTTCAAAATAGGTACTCAAACAATGACTGTCACTGTCCTTCTCCCAGCTGGGAGGCACAAGGGAAGTGCGGCATACATGAAAAGCATCTGCAGTCTACGACCAAAATTACTGTAATACCGTGTAAAAGCATCTGAAGATCACTGTTAAATGATGCTTCACATCGCACGAAATAGTCTAACCTATGATTACTGTAGATTATTAGTCTTATAAAACATCTAGGTTGGGAGTGGTACACAACTGATTTCAGGGTGATAAAATTGAAGGCATTTAGAAGAGACACTAAATTAATATTGCTTTCTTTTCCCCCACAACAATGAAATGATCTTCCTAAATGAATTATTATTTTTTTTCTTAAATAGGGAGAACAAGGTTTTTAACTAAAAATAAAAGAAACCCTTTTGGTTCAAACAGAGGTTGAGAGCCCGTGGTTAATACAGCCAACGCATTATTGTCCGGGAGCTGGGACAGGATGACTACTCCCAGGCCAGGGGACCCACGGACTGAGGGCTGCAACCCCAACGCCGCTGCCGTTCACGCCTAGTGAGCAGTCCTGTGCGAGAGGATACAAGGAAAATAAAACCCTGTCCTGACAGTCCTCTCCTTAGCCATACACCGCGAACATGGGCCAATGTCCTGTATGGGACGTGGAAGGGCTCTGACCGTACTGACTGCAATGGACGAACCCCTGAAGGGAAAAACGAAACAAAACAAAAATAAAGGCACTTTGAGTGAAGACACCACCCCTGGTCTCAGGGGTCTGATTCAGGGGCAGAGGGAATAGTCACTAAGGGGGAAAGCGCCGAATGCTATAAACGCGCACCCCCCCCCCCCCCCCCAAAAAAAAAGCTAAAGGCGCTAAACTGGGAGATTAGCTGGGATCACTCCAGTGAAAAGCCGGGTACAAGCTGTTCGACGAGAAAAGCAGAGTGACGTCCGGCCATCGTTCCTGCCAAGGCTGGGAGTGGACGAGGACTACTCAACCTCACCGCAGCAATGACTGTGGAAGGAGATGCCACGACTCATGCCACGGTTACCAAACGGGGGAAGAAAAGGCCACGACTCCCCCAGACCAGACACGCACGAGTGAAAATACACCCGTTTTCCTGTGCCCGGGGAAGAGGGGGTGCTGGGGGGTGCTGTACATTCGGAAGGTGCCTGCCTCTCTAGGGGGCTCAGCTCCGGGCAGAAGCGGGGTACAGGGGGATGGCAGCGGCGGGGGCTGTCAGGTCCGGGTATAATGTGGATATTCTTTTTCTTCAACGTTATCGTTGAGACGGCATCGAGATGGGTCTATTCTCGCAGCCTCCGGCGGGGCTGGCGGGCAACAGCGGCCGAGACCCAGATCAGCTGGAAGCGGAGCCCGACGCGCCGCGCCCTCGCCGGCTGCCACGCGCCGCTGCGGTCCCCGTCGCCGCCACCTGAGGCCTAATCAGAGGTTCTAGAGTCTTTACCTCGCGGCGGAGGGCGGCCAATGGCCGAACGCCCCGGGGCTACTTACCTACCTGGAGAGAGCGACCCCCTGGCGGAGGGGAGCGCAGAGGCCAAATCGGCGTTTGCTGTCACTTCTCAGGTCCACAACGTGTTCCTACGGCGTCCGGCCAAAATGGCGGTGCCCAGCCGCGCCTCGCGCACGCCTCGGGGACGTAGGGCGCGCACGCGACGGCGAGCGCCGGGCGCGACGGAGAGGCGTGACGTCGTTGCGATGCGACGCCAATTCGACGTCACTGGGAAGCCGGGCTGCCCGGAGGAGCTCAGTGGGAGTGGTGCGGCTCTGCTGCAGGGCATCCTGGAAACCCGAGCTGCAGCATACTCGGTCTGCAAGCTGTAAGTGCCTGAGCTTTTCCCGACGTGGAGAAGGTTCTCCCGCAAGCACATGCGTTCTCTCCCCCAACCTCAGTCTTTTTGTTTTGTTTTCCGCGCCCAATTTCCAGGCCGGTGGGTCAGGAATGGAGCTTAGCCATGGCCCGTGTTAGCCCTTCCATTCAGCACAGGCGTCCAGCAGGACCCGAAGAGTCTGGTGCAGACGCTGACGTTCCTCCTTGGGACTCGGCTCCTTCTGGACCGTATGGCCAGGAACCCAGTCTTACCTGAACTCCGTGTTTTATCCACTTGGTGGCGTCCAGTACCAAGTCCGCCAGTTGAATTCCTCTCTAGTAGAGAAATGGGCCTTTCTTTTCTTTTTACAAATTTGACAGTTTTGAACACAGCTTGTAATTCAGCTTGTGAAAAAAAACAAAACTCAGGTCCTGGTATAATGTGGATATTCTTTTTTTTCAACGTTATTCAGCTTGTAATAATGGTCAGAGATTTAATTTTCTCACCTTAGACCTTACTTAACTTGAACATGGCAAGTACTTGTATATTGAATATATTTATATCTATATATCTATATCTATATCTATATATCTATATATATCCATTTATTCATTCAGTAAATTGCTAATTGAGCATTTAAGTTTTAGGCTTCTACGAACTTTACAGTCCAGTGCTATTTAGTGAATATCTAAGTGCTGGTGTGGGGATTAGGGAACAACTGAGATCAAATAGGAGGTATCAAGGAGATAGTATATGGAACTATTGATCTAGGTTTATAATAGCATGTGTAACGATGTTCAGTAGCTGTAACTTCGAATTTCTGAGGCAGTTTTTTATACTGTTCACTCTGCAAGAAGTTTTGTTTTCCCACGTTTGCATAGATGTAACAAGATTAGCAACAGATGTGAAAGATTAAGTAAACTTTTGATTTAGAATGGGCCAGTTACACAGACCTTGAAGCCGTTTTTCTGACTTTATCTTCTATGGTAAGAGCACATACCATCTAAATGATGCTTTTGACAACTAGTGGGAAAATGTGATTTTTCTCTGCATCACTTAATGGATTATTTAAAATGGAGACCCATATTCACATATTTTGGGAATAAGAGTAGTTCTGAGTTTTGTTTTGTTTTTTAAATATATTTTATTGATTTTTTACAGAGAGGAAGGGAGAGAGATGGAGAGTTAGAAACATCGATGAGAGAGAAACATCGATCAGCTGCCTCCTGCACATCTCCTACTGGGGATGTGCCCGCAACCCAGGTACACGCCCTTGACCGGAATCGAACCTGGGACCTTTCAGTCCGCAGGCCGACGCTATATCCACTGAGCCAAACCGGTTTCGGCTATCTGAGTTTTCTAAGGGAAAAAAATGGCATTTGAATTAAGAAATGTTACTCATAGAGGAATAGCACTGTATAAAGCTGTGGAATTATAGATCAAGTCAACCTCTTTGACAGGAGAGGAAATAAAGTCCAGACCTGCCCAATGTCTAGGCTAGTTAAAGAAGGGGCTGAAGCTAAAACGGTAATCCTGTGCCCCTTTTCCCACTGTACTCTGCTGCTTGACACATAAAATATTTTACAAGCTGCATTCCCAAGATTTCTAAAATTACAGTGGTTGATTTATGTTAACTGCATTTGAGAATAAGATGATTATTATCAAGGGTCTATTAGTGATCCATTTTGCTATTAAATGTTTATTTTTACCTTTTGAAAAAAAATTCAGGTCCTGGTATAATGTGGATATTCTTTTTTCCTATATAGAATATTTTAAAAATGACCACACCAAACAAGACCCCTCCTGGTGCTGACCCTAAGCAGTTGGAAAGGACTGGCACAGTACGGGAAATTGGGTCACAAGCTGTTTGGTCACTCTCATCTTGCAAACCAGGTAAAATAAAACAAAAAAGCTGTTTGCAATAACTACTCACTAGTACAGTTTTCTTGTATTCTGGACTGACTTTAATATCATTTTTGTTTATATACTTCATCTTAATTCTAAAATAATTTGAGTTTTCATCTGTTATATATCTCTTCACAATTGCTTTACTACTATCCACTTGAATTTAACTGCATATGTCATAAAGTCTCTTCTTTATCCTCCCCTATCTCTGCTGTGATTAAGTTATTTGGGATAAGTGGGTGATACATTTTTTGAGTGATTACATATCCCAAAGTAACTTTATTTTACTCTTGGTTGAGATAGAAATCTTGAGTGTCAGTCTTTTTCTCTCAAAAATTTTGTGGATACTGTTTTACCATTTTCTTTTTTGTCGTTGCAAATAAGATGGTGTATATCTGTCTTGCTCTCTCTTTTTTATATAACTTGTTTTTTGGAAGCATTTAAACCAAGCATGTCTAACTCAAAGGCTAACACGGGCCAAATAAACAAGGTTTGTTTATGTGGGCCGCAAAAAAACAAAAGCTTCAATTTTCATAGAAATGTAGGTTTATTTTGATAGAGACATGCTGAATACAAAGGGCTGAAATAAATGAGTAACCATTAACATAACATAATAGAACATTTTAATAAAAATTAATATTTTCGTGAACATTAACTTATCAGACACTGAATAACTGCACCAATTAATAAGCGTAATGCAAATAAACCTATTTTTCTTGTTCTCCAAAAGTGAAATATTTCCGGTTGCGCACACCAAACAAGTCAGTCCAAGACTAATGACATGGCAATTGGCTGCTAAAATATTCGCTGCTAGTATTAGTGGAGAGAAATAGTGCGCCTGCGTGTAAGGCACATAAGGGAAATGAATGCAACACGATTATAGTAATCAGTCATTAGCGAACGTTGTAGTTCATTGTTAATAATTATGTATAACAGGATATTGTAAAAATTAAGTTAGGAGATTTTTATTAAAACGTTTCTTACATACCGCAAAAATATTCGTTGTGGGGCGCGAGTTTGACATGCTTGATTTAAACCATCCTGTTTATCAAACTTTCTGGACAGATATATATATGTACACATATATGTATAGTTATATATGTGTATACACACACACACACATATATATACAATAAGTGGCCCAGATTATTATGACCACCTGACGTTTGTAGGCAAATTAGCTATAATTTCGCGCTGAAGTTGCTAGAGGGCCAGACCATTATAAATAGGGAAGCAGGTTGTTTACCACGACAGTAGAAGTTATTTTTTTCTGAAGAGATGGGTAAACAATGCGATTTAACAGCCTTTGAACGTGGGATGATTGTTGGCGCTCAGAGCCATGGAGCGAGTATCAGCAAAACAGCCGAAGGCCTGTTTGAACAGCTTTGCTGTCTGCAGTTACCAAAATAAAACGTCTCCAATTCACATAGAAACACAAGGATTGGACAGTCGAGCATTGAAAAAAAGTCATGTGGTCCAATGAATCACGTTTCCAGTTGCATCATGCAGATGGAAGAGTGAGAATTTGGCGGAAACAGCATGAAAGCATGCACCCCATATGTATGAGTACAACCCTTCAAGCTGGTGGGGGCAGTGTTATGGTTTGGGGCATGTTTTCCTGGCATGATTTGGGCCCTTTAATTCGTGTGGAACAACATCTGAATAGCACAACATACCTAAGTACCATTGCTGATCAGGTTCATCCTATCATGTTGATGGCGTATCCCAATGGAGATGGCTTCTTCCAATAAGACGATGCACCATGCCACAGTGCTCGTATTGTGCAGGAGTGGTTTCAAGAACATGAGGGAGACTTTACCTTGCTTAGGTGGCCCCCACAGTCACCAGATCTCAATCCACTTGAGCATCTGTGGGACGAAGTTAAAAGAGCCATCAGGCAGCTGGTTCCACAACCATCAAATCTCACAGAACTGGACAGTGCTATTCATCAGGCATGGTGTCAGATTCCTTGCATCACCTTTCAACATCTTGTGGAGTCAATGCTAAGAAGAATTGCCACAGTATTGAAGGCAAAAGGTGGCCCAATAAGTACTACTGATGGGGTGGTCATAATAATCTGGCCATTCAGTGTATATTTATATGTGTATATATATAAATATATATATATATATATATATATATATATATATATATATATATATGGTTATTTTATATTTTATTATTATTTTTTATTTTTTTAAAATATATTTTATTGATTTTTTACAGAGAGGAAGGGAGAGAGATAGAGAGTTAGAAACATCGATGAGAGAGAAACATTGATCAGCCGCCTCCTGCACATCTCCTACTGGGGATGTGCCCGCAACCCAGGTACATGCCCTTGACTGGAATCGAACCTGGGACCTTTCAGTCCGCAGACCGACGCTCTTTGCACTGAGCCAAACCGGTTTTGGCTATATTTTAAATATACAGCTCTTTCTTTAGCATGAGAATTTATTGTCACTTGTGGTGTTTTTAGGATTTGGAGTGGATCAATTACGAGATGACAATCTAGAAACTTATTGGCAATCAGATGGCTCCCAGCCTCATTTAGTGAACATCCAATTCAGGTAATACATTAAAAAAATTTTTTCTTGGATTTATTGCAGTGATGTTGGTTAATAAAATTTCATAGGTTTCAAGTATGCAGTTCTGTAATACAGCATCTGTATATTGCATTGTGTTCACCACACAAAATCGTCTCCTTCCGTCACCATTTATCCTCTTCTACCTCTCTCACCCCCCACTTTTCCTTTGGTAATCACCATATTCTGTGAGTTGTATTTTTTTTTCCCCTCTTAATCTTTTCACCCAGTCTCCCCTCTGTCAGCTATCAGTCTGTTCTCTCTATCTATGAGTCTCTTTCTATTTTGTTTATTAGTGTATTTTGATCATTAGATTCCATATATAAGTGAAATAATATGGAATTTGTCTTTCTCTGACTGGCTTATTTCATAATACTCTCCATGTCCATCTATGCTGTTGCAAAAGGTATGATTTCCTTTTTTTTTTTTTACAGCCAAATAGTATTGCACTGTGTAAATGTACCACAGCTTTTTTATTCACTCATCTACTGCTTGGCAGTTTGGCTGCTTCCAGATCTTGGCTATTGTAAATAATGCTGCTTTGAGCATAGGGGTGCATATAGTCTTTCAAATCAGTGTTCCAGTTTCTTCAGATATATTCCCAGAAGTGGAATAACTGGGTCATAAGGTAATTCCATTTTTATATTTTTGAGATAACTCCGTACTGCTTTCCACAATGGCTGTACCAATCTGCATTCCCACCAACAGTGCACAAGGGTTCCTTTTTTTCCACATCTTCACCAACCTTGTTGTTTGTTGATTTATTGATGATAGCCATTCTGACAGGTTTGAGGTGATAACTCGTGGTTTTAATTTGCATTTATCTGATGATTAGTGGTGTTGAGCATCTTTTTATGACTATTCGCCATCTGTATGTTCTCTTTGGAGAAGTGTCTGTTCAGGCCCATTTTTCCATTGGATTGTGTTTTTTGGTGGTGTGTTTTATAAGTTCTTTATAAATTTTGAATATTAATCCCTTATCGGATGTATCATTGGTAAATATGGTCTCCCATTCAGTCTTTTCATTTTGTTGATGGTTTCTTTTGCTGTGCAAAAACTTTTTAGTTGATGTAGTGCCATTTGTTTATTTCATTTCCCTTGTTCAAGGAGATATATCAGAAAAAAATATTGCTAGGAGAAATGTCCAAGATTTTACTGCCTATCTTTTCTCCTAGGATTTTTATGGTTGTGAATCTTACATTTAAGTCTTTAATCCATTTTGAGTTTATTCTTGTGTATGGTGTAAGAAGGTGACCTAGTTTCTTTTTTTTTTCTTCCCCATATCTGTTCAGTATCATTTATTGAATACACTGTTTTTACCCCATTGTATGTTCTCATTTCTTTTGTCAAATATTAATTGACCATAAAGGTGTGGGCTTATTTCTGGGCTCTCTATTCTGTTCCATTGATCTATATATCTGTTTTTATACCAGTACCATGCTGTTTTGATTACTATGGCCTTATAGTAGAGTTTGATATCAGCTAGCATGATTCCTTCAACTTTGTTCTTCTTTCTCAAGATCACTGTTGCTATTCAGGGTCTTCTGTGGTTCCATATAAATTTTTGGCATAAATGTTCTAATTCTGTGAAATACGCCATTGGTACCTTGGTAGGAATTGCACTGAAGCTATAGATTGCTTTGGGTAGTGTGGACATTTTAATGATGTTAATTCTTCCTATCCATGAACATGGTATGAACTTCCACTTATTTGTATCTTCTTCCATTTCTTTTTTCAGTGTCTTATAATTTTCTGAGTATAGATCTTTTATATCCTTAGTTAAATTTATTTCTGGGTATTTTTTTAATGCAATTATAAATAGGATTGTTTTCTTAGTTTCCCTTTTATAGTTCATTATTTGTGTATAAAAATGCAACTGATTTCTGGATATTTATTTTGTATCCTGCTACATTACTGAATTTATTTCTCAGATATAGTAGTTTTTTGGTGGAATCATTAGAGTTCTCCAAGTAATACATTTTTGAATTTTTCAATTTGTGTAGGTTACAAGTGGGCAAAGAAATCTATTTTTATGACATAGTTTAAAAAGTATAGAAATTATAGTGAAATGCACTTAACTCTGCATTTGATAAGTTTTAGGCATTATTTTTCTGCTACTAGAATGTGTTTAAAGTTTACTCCATCATATCCTTTATGAATTCTTTATGATACACAGTTCCTATTTCATAAATATTTTTCAGATATACTTTTCAATATGATTTATTTCAGAAAAATATGCTTTGCTTGTGACCCAATACAATAACTAAATGCATGGCATTAAGTACACCTGGAGTGACTTCCATTTGGAAAAAAATATTTTAACTTAGACATTTTTAGTTTTGAAATGCTTTTTTGTGGAAAAGGAAACCGGCCATATATATATGTTTGTCAATTGCTTTGAATTTACTGATTTAGATGAAAATCGTTAAGTTTGTTATCTTGCACCATTTACTAGTATGCCATCTGTTTTTAGTTTGTTTTTATCTTCCTACATTACGGATTAGCCAATTTCTTATGGAAAAGCCAGATAGTAAATATTTTAGGCCTTGTGGATTATCTGGCCTCTGTTATAACTACTCAGTTATTCTATTATAGCATGATGTGCCAACTCCTGTCTTAGAGTATTAAATATGTATACCCAGGAATAAAAACAGCAGCTAATATATTTTTTAAAAACTTAACATAGCAAATACCTTGGTAAATGTCTTCCCCACTTACCCATTCATTTTATTTAACCTTTACAGCTATTTTTAACCCTTATTTTGTAGTTTCAGAGATGTATAAATTAAGTAGCTTGCCCAACGTCACACAACAAGTAAGTGAAAGGATTGCTATTTGAACATAAATACTTTGACCAGAGAGCCTGCACTTTTAACTATTATACAGTATAGCCTAGGGCAGGGGTTGGCAAACTTTTTGACTCGAGGGCCACAATGGGTTCTTAAACTGGACCGGAGGGCCAGAACAAAAGCATGGATGGAGTGTTTGTGTGAACTAATATAAATTCAAAGTAAACATCATTACATAAAAGGGTACGGTCTTTTTTTTTTTTTTAGTTTTATTTATTTCAAACAGGCCGGATCCAGCCCGCGGGCCGTAGTTTGCCCACGGCTGGCCTTGGGTAAATTGTTTCTTTGTGACATCAAAGGCTGTTGCTTAAAAGTTGTATCATGAGTATCCTAATTTAATTGTATTATATTAGAACTAGTGGCCTGGTGCATGAATTTGTGCACATTGAAAGGAAATTAATTAGAAGAAATATTTTAATGTCGCCATTCACCCTTTCTCTGTAAGTGTCAACCAAATTCATAGTCGACAATGACAGATCGAAACACACACTTATCTATCTATCTATCTATCTATTGATAAACTTGCTTAATTAGACTTGCTTTCTGATTTAGCTAAACTCTTTCCAGCCCTGTGAAGCACCCCAGCTTCTTTTTTAAGTAATTGTCAGCAACACAGCAGTAAATATCAACACGAAGTGATTATTATTGTAGATCACGCAGGGAGAACAAAGGTGAAATATTTAACTGTAGCAGTGTTTGACTATATTCTGTGCAGTGAGAAAACCTGAAGTCATTTTCAAGTTCCACCATTTCTTACTTCTTTTAGGTGGGGTCAAGTTTCTAAACTTTCTAAATCTCCATTTTCCGGCTAATGAAAAGAAAATAAGATTCTACCAAGTCTCCTATCTACCTACTTCAGGACTTCTGTGAGGATCAAATGAGATGAGGCATGTGAAAACGCTTCACAGACATTTGGTTAAAGTTTAAAATGTTTGCACGTGGGTATAAAGCAAGTCATGTTCCTGGGTTGAAGAAACTCCAAGGAGGATAGTCACTAGGTAGAGGTAGCTGGGCATTGCTACGTGACGTCATTACCTGGTGCCTACAATGACTGTTTCTGGGCTGGGCTGGGCTGTGGGCCACATTTTGAACCGTGGGGTCTTGGCAGTGTCGGCTGCTATTTGGTGGGGTGTCGCTTCAGGGTAGTGATGGGGCCTGTGTCCCACTTGGAGGGAGCCGAGTGTTGCTTTGTGGGTGCCAGATCCACGGTGCCATTTATCGTTAAATGGCCTGTCGCTAGGGAGAGGAAGCTAGGCATTGCTATGTGATGTCATTACCCAGTGCCTACAGCCACCTTTTCCGGGCAGGGCTGTGGGCCGCGTTTTGCACCATGGGGTCTCGGCAGTGTCAGCTGCGATTGGATGGGCTGTCACTCCGGGGTGGTGGCAGGGCCTGTATTCCACTTGAGTGTTGCTTTGTCGGCGCCCGGTCCTCAGTGCTGTTTCTCTGTAAATGGCCAGTGCGCATCAGGGCAGCTCCTGCATTGAGTGTCTGCTGGGAGCCGGTCCATGCTTGCTGTTTCAAGGGACCTGGCATATATTGCATACTGTTCTTAATATGTTTGCTCACCTTCTTGGCACTATGTGTTTTAACCAACGTCACCTCTCTGAGAAAGGTTGTTTCCCCAGGTAGGGATTTTCCCCTGAAGTTAGGGAGGGAATAAAACCCCTTAACTAAGTGCCAGGCGGGTAATTAATCACTTTAACTACAAACAATCATGCTTAAGCTACATAATCTTTACTTCCTGGAATGGAGATAAGAAACGCCCTAACCTTTGGAATAGAGATTGATAGGATTGGAATCAACTGGTATAAATACAGATGTAACAAGACAACAGGACACAGAACCTAGACACAGAACCTACACAGAACCTAGAGACAGAAGAACTTCGCTGGAGAGAACATGGCAAAAGATCCTGGACAGAAACTGGCCACAGAACCTAGAGACAGAACCTAGTGAGAGAACATGGCAAAAGATCCTGGACAGAAACTGGACACGGAACCTAGAGACAGAACCTAGGGAGAGAACATGGCAAAAGATCCTGGACAGAAACTGGACACGGAACCTAGAGACAGAACCTAGGGAGAGAACATGGCAAAAGATCCTGGACAGAACCTGGCTACAGAACTTGGTTGG